ATTTGATGGTTTTAATTAGAGTTGTAATAGTTAAAGAAGGGCTTTTGATTAAGGCTTTTGTTTAAATTTCAATTTTTTGTGTAACCGATTCTAAATAAGTGATTTGGGAAGTGATGATATTAGAAGTTATAGTAAACTTTCCTTTTTCGATATATTCTCGGAAGATCTTGAGGAGATCTAGCAATTTTGATTATTCATTATATGATTTAGTAAAAGTAGAGACTAGTATTATAAGATCTCTTACTTTTAGAATTGCTTCTTTTGATATAATTGGTTCGTTTTGAATTTTGGATTGTTTATTGAGATTGTTTAAAGGTATTGAAGGGCCATGTTTCCTATTTAGATTGATAGAATGGATTGTTCCAGTAACGAATTGAATAATAAAAGGATCACTGAGAAGATTGATCCTTTGAGATCTTAAAGTCGAATTAATGGATTGGTTAATTGATAATGTAGGGCTTGAGATTTCTGATAGTATATCTTCAGAAAATGGAGATGGGCTTGATGGTATTGATGTTCCAAGTATAATAGTTGGATAGGTATCAGGTATTATAAAATCTTCAAAAGAAGTTTTTATTATATCTATATTTATAAAGATTCTTGGAGTAGCAATTATTAGATAATCGGAGTGATCTATATTGAAAATAGTGATTTTATACTAGTGATTCGGTACGTTTTTTCGTATATATTTCGTGTTTGAAATACTGATATCAGTATCACAACAACTATTGGTCAGAATCGTTTAGGGATAGTTGTAATCAATTTGATTTAATATCTTTGATCTAGATCGACCAATAAAAGGACGTATTTCGAAGGAAAATTCTCCTTCAAGATTTGTTGCAAATGCAAGCTCCCTTTCCAAATGCATCAAGCCGCCAGAATTGTGTAGCAGAAAATGAATAGAAGCATGATAAGGCTTAGTATGGATCCTCAAACAAATCGAACTTATAAAACTCTATTTCTGGAATTAAGAGGACTGACTATCACGCTATAGGTCCTCCGTCCGATTTATCGACTTGATATGTAAATAGCGTGACTCGAAATGCTCAAAACTTATCGTAGTCCGGTCGCGAGATACTCAGTATCGGAGACGGCTTGGCGGACTTTAAAACGGCCGGTAAGATGCATGAACGAAAATGAAGATATCAAAAAATCTTTTGATCTACCGAGCTGGCTGCGATAAGGCTTCTTCACGGCCATCTCCTGTACTTGTACTGACACTTTGACGCATGACAAGACTTCGTACGATCAAACTGAATAGCGATGAACCACTTTGTCCCATGACATAATGGTACAAACTATATCCAGCCCACTGTCAATAACAGAATGAAAGGTGTGTTGGTGTCGCTAAAAGATTTGACATTGTTCCCTAGCAGAAAACGGTTAGAGAAAGATGTCACGGTGTACAAGTCAGGGATCACCGAACTAGAGTAGAGCTAACGAGGGAAGGAAAGTTGGGTTCGCTTAAGATTTGATTTCCGGGCCGGCAAATCATAGTTTTTAAATACACATAACGTGG